TAAAGTAAAAGTATTATAAAAGTATAACAATTATTTGCAAATTAAAGAATATTTTTTATGTTTAAAATAAATACAATTTAAATCTTTTTTTAGTTATAATTTACATTCTTTTAAAATTTCTTTTATTTATCTATTTAAAAAATATATGAATTGTATTAATCTATTAAGTATTATTTTACTTTTAAACTTTTTTTTACTACTAAATTTAAGATTTATTTTTGATGCAATTAAAGCATTTTTAGTATATATGATATGTAATATTACATTATCAAATAAAAATACACTAATTTTATTAGAATGTAATTTTTCAAAAATTAAAATTGTCTTTTCAATAATCTAATTATAAAATAATTATTAATTAATAATTAAAAAAAATAAATAAATAACATAAATAAAATAAAATATTTATCTGTGTAATCAAATTTTTAGTTTTTATTAATAATATCTAGTTTTATTATAATATATATTTATCTTATTTAAATTTTAATTAACTATTAACTTTTATTAAAAAATCACTAATATGTAAACTTAAATCTATTTTTTTTTTACAAAAAGATTGATATTTAATAGGTTTTTAAAAGATTTTTTTACCATTATTAAAATGAATTACTTATTTATCATTAATCACTAAAATATGTTCTTTATTACCTTCATTTAAATTAGATTCTATAAATATCATAATATTATTATCTGAAGATTTTAGCATCTATTATATTCTAATTAAATGATTTTATTATTATTTAAATTAAATTAAGCTAGCATTATAAATATAGTCAGAATTATATTCTAAAATTTATAATTATAGTTCATTTTAATTAGAATTGGACTAGATATCTTTATTAGATCTTAAATATAATAGTTTATTATTAGGAATAAGACAAAGTCCAATTTTAATACTATACATATCATATAATAAAATTAATTAATAATAAATATTTATTGAATTAATTAGTATTTTTTAAAAATAAATGTTACAGTATACAAAATAGATATTTTTATTCTTACATTTCTAATTTACAATAATTAAAAAAAAAATTAAAACTTTTAAATTTTATCAATAATTAATAAGTTCTTAAATAGTAAATAATTTTAATATAATCTTAATACTAATTTTTTTTGATAATAATATTTATGAAATTCTTTATTATAATTATATTTTACAAATTTGATCACAGTTAAAATAATTTATTATTTTTTATATCTCCTCTACTTAATAAAAAGGTTTTACTTTATATAATTGCTTTTTGTAAATAAATTAATAATCTTTATCATTATTTTTAAAGAGATGTAAATAAGAAAAATGAGATTATTGTTTAATATCTAATTTATCTAAGTTTATAGAATTATAATAAATTTTAGTTTAATTATTATTTAATATCTAATTTATCTAGATCTATAGAATTATAATAAAATATAATTTAATTAATCAAGCTTTTAATGTATTAAATATAACAAAAATATTTATAAAGTGATTATAGTAAAATAAAGTACTAAAAGTATCAAAACTCAATTATAATATCTTTTTTAAAAATATCATTAGAGATCTAAGCCATGACTTAGTAATATTAAAGGATTAAAATATTTGTAAGGAATTCTCTTTTTCTTACATTAATTTATAAAATAATGATAAATTAATCTAAATTACAAATGTTATTTTATTGAATTCAGTTTATATAAAATTTATAATTATATTATAAATAAATAAATTATTAATAAAGACTTTTTGAAAAGTTACAACACTTAATTTATAACTTGTAAATATAAAAAATTAATATAAATAATAATTTAATAGATATAAATAATAATAAAAATTAAGATTAAAATTAATTACTTTTAATCAAATCAAATTCAAACACATTATATAATTTTTTTAAACTTTTAGTTCTGATGTATTTATTTAGAATTAAAATTAAATTTTTAAAAAAATAAATATCCTTTCATTAACTTTTTTGTTTCTTTTACTTTTTATTTTGTGATTTAAAAAGTTTTTTAACATACTTACTAAAATTTGTTTTTATATACAAGTTTTTCTAATAGTATTTATTTTACCTAAAAAATCTGTTTTTCTAATCTTATATCTCTTTTCATACACATGATTGTAAGCATATTACAATCATGCTTTTTTGTGATCAGCTTCCAACCTTTAACTCCATTTGGCTAGCATACATCAGTGATATTAATATTTAGGGGATATTATACCATCATCTCCTTTCCTGTCCAGTCAAAGTCTATCAGCATAACAAGAGGTAAATTATTATCTCCATTAATTCTAACTGAGAAATTAGTATTCATGTATCCAATTACCCATGAAGATGCTTTACAATATCATTAATCTTACTTTTTAACTTTATCAATAGAAGGAAATCTGCGAAAATATCAATCATATATGACTCATGCATTTAGATCTATATAATCTATAATTATCATTAACCATCCACCAGAAATATGTTCACAACTATGAAGATGAGATGCATAAGCTTTGTTAACACAATGATTGTGAGCATCTGCTAAGTATTGATGAACAAATTTAATGCAAATGTTTTTACCCATGTCATTTTTAGCAAAGAAAATTAACTTTTCCTTTATGGGTTGTAACACATATTTGAAATAAACAATCATATCTCCACCTTTGTAATTCCACTTATATAAAAGCTCTGGATTTTGTAGGGATTGTGACAATTGTACTGGGAATTTATTCACATAATAAATTTCAGGTTATGAATAGCCTTTTTAAAGACAGTAAAAGTGCGTGTTATCATAATTCTCAAATCTTTCTAATAAGGATTCCAAGCAAGGGGAATCATAGGAGTTAATGGATCCATATGAACTTTTTTGGACATGCTGACCCAGAAAATCCGAAAGTAGAGCCTAAAAAAACTTTTCATGTGAGCTTTTACTGTACAGTATTGTTTACATGTAATCATGGGAAAATAAAACCAGGGTAATTCATTGCATACTCGCGCACAATATTTAAATAATGGATAGTCGTTTGAAATAAAGGTTCTCCACCTGAACCGAGTTCAACGTTAGCTTCCACATTAGCATAATAATATTTGCCTGCTATTAAAGATCCATCTGTTGTATAACCATTCTTAATTTCACATGCAATGAAAGACAGTTCACAGTAGTCTGTTATAAGTTCACGAAACACCTCTGCACGTTCTCTTTCACTATTATAGAACATAGACATATAGTATTATAGTTTCAAAATAAACTGAAAATCCTCTGAAGCAGGCCTCCCATCCTTACAATCATCCACAAATTGACCAAAAATTGGGTGCAACAATGTAACTGATGTAGAAGAGGCACCTGGAGGCCGATGACACAAGATGGGTTGTTCATAATTTTTCTGCATATCAGCTAATGTTTCAAAATGTGCATAGCTTGAAGGACGCATGTGCTTGGGGAGTTCATCATCAAAGAATCGTCGTTTGCTTTCAGCGAATGCATTAACGTCACCTTCATATGATCTTTTTTTCTCTAAAAGATTAATTATTATAAGAAAGTATTAAACATACACAAATGAACCGAAACCATGTATAAGTTAGTTAAAGTTGTAAAAAGTATACCAATAAAATAAATAAACGAAATATAATGAACGAAAAATAATTTTTTTTTTAAGCAATTTATTCATTACCTTTTTCATCACAAAACTTCAATAACGCATCCCGCAACATCGCTACATGCTTCCATTTGTTATCTTTATCCGCTTCTAACTTTTCTTTTTCTTTATACAATCTGTTCATTCGTCCTTTCAACTCTGTCTTCTTTTCTTCACTCAAGTTCCCCTCAAACAACTCTATTTCCCACTCATGCAATCTCTCTCCCTTATATTTTCCTTCATTTTTTCGATTTTTTCGCATGTTGCCATACTTTAGAATTAAAAGATAAATTAATTTTTTTTTTTATTGATCGTAATTGTATACAATTAACCGATTTGGCTCACCATTATATCACTCGCCAGATTTGGATTTTCTGAATTTTACTGAGCATTAGTATTGCTGGCAACCATATGACTTCTTTAAAAGTCCAAAGTTAATTACAAATAAAATGAATATATATATATTAATTTAAAAACTTGACCAAAATTTATTAATTTATTATAAACTAATTAAAATAAATATTAAAAATAATATTATTTGTATTATTTAAAAATCATAAAAAAATAATTTAAAAAATAATTTTCAAATTATTTATAGGAAATTAATTTAATACATAAATTATAACAATAGCATTAAATTTAGGGGGAGACATGCGCTGTGATCGTTAAGCTTAACGCGCGAAAAGAAAACGGAATGAGATAAACAAATTACGATGTTGAGTTGTCATACTTAATTGTTAGGGTTAGCTTTAATGCTGGTAGATTAGAGTTAGATTAGGAATAGGTAAGGTTAGAGTATGAAAACAACATCAACTCACGTGTATGCTCGCCTCTCTCTGACTCCACTCATTTTCGTATCACTCATTTTCTTGAGCCGTAGTCAGACCACTTACGTTACTTTTTTGATGATATTAGATTTAATAATTGCCTTGCATTAGCGATGAATGATGTATATTTATATGCAATTATTTTTATAAATATTTTTAAGCAGTGGGATAAAAAATTATATTTACTATCCATAGAGTTAAAATCTTTAATATGTTTATATGTTTCAATTTTATAGACGTATTGAATTGTAAACCACAAATACTTTGCTAACAAGCAATAATCTGGTTTATCTATTGTATTAAAATACTAAACCGAGAAACTTTATTGAAATTTATCTTTTTTGGATTATTTAATTAAACTTGCAATATTATATTCATCGACCTAGAAATTACTTTTCGCTTAATCGAATTCCATGATTATAATACTTAATATTATTAAGAATGAAATTGGTTAAATCCTTGCTTCTTCTTAGAATATTCAAGTGTTCAAAAGATTTTGCTGATATTCTCAACTTCCTAAAGGAAATAGAAATTCAATAAAAACTGAATTGAAGAAGCGATTAGATTATTGAAAATGTTAATTATTATTAACGCGGAATGTGATTATAAGTAAATATAAGAAAGTTTTATTTTAAATTTAATTTGTATAAAATAATTTGATTCTATATCTGGTTTTAATTATAATTGTAAATGCAAATATGTAATAAGTAAGAAAGAATTTTAGTTTTATTTAAGCTTGCAAATGACATCGCTCACATAATATTCTAAGATCTTTCGATCCAAGTGAATGAAGTAGATACCTTTCAAATCAACCTATCTTAAAAATTTAAGAATAGGTATAAACATAACTTGTTGTCATTGTTTCCTATCAGTTTTATGCTTTTAATTACCTTATCATTCTGAATCTTGTTACGATATTCATTCTGATCATTTAACACGTCTTCATCATTCTCAAATATTATGTTTAATCATAGTTTTAAATTCTCCAAGAATTTTTGTAAATGCTACCTTCAATAACTATTATAATGACATTTTTTATAATTGAAAGAGGTTAAAGTTATCAATTAAATTAAAGTTTTAAGAAAAGAACTTGAGAACTGTAGAAGCTAGAAAATATTAAAACTTATTTAACGGCTAATATCGGCCGATTATAAAGTTAAATCGAAACCAGGTTAACCAAACAACGATTAAATCTAACTAAAACCCGTCCTAAGAAAGATTTATAAAACTATTTACTTTATATTATTCTTAGTGTAGTTATTAGTCAGTCTATATGGAGACACGATAAAGTTTGAAAGTGTAACGTGGAACATTATTAATTCAAGATTTCGGAAGTCTCTTCTCAAGACTCGTTAACCTTATTCTTTGAACAAGCGGAATTTCGGAGTTTATATACAAAATTACTAAATTAAAAAATAAATATATCAAATATATCAAACATAATAAAAATTATAATAAATTTAACAAATATATATAATAAAACAAATATAAAAACGAAAAATACATATAATTGATATTATTAATAAATGAAATTTGTAACACCGGTAACCGCATCTAAAAAATTATTTTGAATAATCGTTAACTTAAAAATGTAATTATGGATCATAAAATTTTATTTATTCAAAATCAGCCAAATTATCAAATACATTCTTACATTCCTTCTTAAACATATCTACATATTCATTATTTCGTTTTCCAAATAGCATCAACTTTCCACCTCATCGTTTGATATTAAAATTTTTTTTCGTTAAACCTTTCCTAAAATTTCTTTAGTAAAAAGGTGTTAAAAGTTTTATTTTTATTTTTATTTTTTTTTTATTTGTGAAGCGCGAATACATTGATGTCGAAAATGTTTAAATACATTAAATTAATTATTTAAATTAAGCACTTCTCTATTTAAAGAATTGTATAAAGAATAAATCAACCGAACCGTTAATAATTAACCGTTAAAGTTAGCTGGTTAATGACCGTTGAATTAACCGGCTAATAGTTAAATACAGCGAAATCAGAAATCAGAGATATCACGGCTCCCTGTGAGATCGGTAAATAATATATTTCATGTGATAAATAAGGATCCGCAATAAAATAAACTTTTCTTAGTAATCATCATTTTTTCCTTCACTCTAAAAAATTTACACAATTTAATACTTCTAAATATATAGAAATTCAAAAAACAATATAATATTATCAAAATAACAAAATACAGAAAAAGCAATGGTGCATTTAAAGCAATTCTAAGACGCTTGAAGGACATGTTCTAAGTATATATTTACTTGATTTTCTTGTCAGTAAAGTATTATAAATATGATTAAAAAGATTTAAGTAACTTTTCGTTAGAGTGGATGCAAAGTTTTTGGTAAGATAAATAAAGGTTGTTTGCTTGATCTTATTAAAATTCTGTTCTGAACGCAAAAAACAATATCATAATGAATTTAATTTAACAGTAATCGTTATATTTGTTAATTTTATATTTATCTTGTTTATTTATTTTATCTTTTATATTATATTTTATAGTATCTTATTTTGTATAAATATTTTGTATTTTCCCTTGAGTCAAAAGATAGGGATTTAGGATAAAACCAAGCGTTCAATAAAGAAATCTTTTAAATTTATTTGCTATTACCTTTTGTCGTGTTTTCATTTAGGTGGAATTGTGATAAAGTCTTGTGTTTAATCGTTTAAATTTACAGATACCAAGCCAATAACAATAAAAGCAATCCATATTTTAAATATTTTAAATATATTATACAGTAATTTATGGTAATACGTCGAAATATTATGAAAGATTTTATTGTAAAATTTGGTAAATATCAAAAAAATTTTATTTCTTTATTTGAAGCCAAAGTTCTTCGTAAATAAATATTGGTGTATTTCATGAAATATTTATATGCACAACTCTTCACTAACTTCAATAGCAAAACGAAAATATTAGCTGTTTGAATCAATTATATTATAATTTTAAAGATAAACCACTTCGCATATAAATTTATTACAAAACCTAACTCAATTTTCATAAAAAAGTAAGTCAATTATTCGAACAAGACGTTAGAAAAAAAAACTATTTTTCATAATTTTTTTTAAAAAAATATAATAAAACGAAAATTTACTTTAAATACTTAAGAATCATCTAAAGAAAAATTATCACTCCGTTTTTTATCTGACAATATTATCAGTTAGTTTATTATTGTGACCGAATTTCAAAATTCATCTCCAAACTTTAGTCCGTAACACTCATAATAATTAATTGCATTCTTAATGGTCACCGAAAATGTCCCCTAATTTTAACTCTTTGCTACAAGAATTTCAAATTGATGTATCTTAGCCAATATCGCCTCAAATTTTATAAAATTATAACCATTAGAATCGCCTTATTCAGGCGAATCTTATAAGCTATTAATTTTTAATTTTTTAATTATTTTATTAATAGATAAATTAAATGATGTTTCAACAACTATATTTTTGTAAATATTAACAGAATTAATTTTAAATAATAGTATTTAATTCATATGAATAATATGAATTTAAAAAACCAAAAATTTTCAATTTTCAATCACTAGATCTCAAGATATTGTACTTTAAAGTGTTACTAAAAAATTTTTTATATGTAAAAAAAATTTAAATTTAATTTTTATTAACATTTACTTATATGTAAACATATAAATCTAATAATTATAATTTCTCAATATTTTAATGTTAACATAAATAGATATATTTAGTATTTTAAGTACTATTTTAAAATCCATTGATCTACTTAGTTTTCTATTTCTAAAATTAAGCTTCTTACTCACTTTATTAGTCTGCAACTTACCTTTTGAAGTTCACTACAACTCCTATTAAGAACAAAATGATGCAACTAATACAAAGGGGATTTTAATACATCATATCATATAAATAACAAAATAGAAAAATAAATAATTTTGTAAGAGCCTATTTCAGGATATGAAGTTATTGTTATATATAGTTCTTACGTTTATATTTATTAACAAATTGTAAAAAACCTAGCAGAAGGTTTTTAATTATGATTCTGGTCGAAATTGATCTATCAAGGTAAACTGAATTTATCCTAAATGACCTTTGAGTCAAAATGATCAGTTTTCAAATAGAATTATATTTATGTCATGCGATCATTATAAAAAAAGAAATAATTTTATTTTAAGTGAGAGACGTTGCTAATTTACTTTGCGAAAATTAAGAATTTAAAATTTTTTACCAATTGAAGAAATGAAAATCTTGTAGTTTTGATTTTTGCGATAATGGCTTGATATACAGTATTTATTTATATATATATATAAATTATATTTGACCATTTTCTCAAATATTAGTTAAATATGCGAAATTGTGAAACATAAAAGTCCAAAAAAATACCAAGATATTGTCTCATATTTTACATAGTAATATATACTGAGGGTTTTTCACGGTCGAACTGAGATAATAA